TGGTGGTAAAATTTTAGATGATACTGGACGTTCTGGTACACAAATCTTTCCCCATATATCATCCCAAAGTTGGGTTTGTAGAATTTTCTGGTAGGGACGGATATCATCAAATATTTTTTTGCTGGGAATATGAAAGAATCTAATATGTGGTATACAGTTTTGCAGAGTTTTTTTCAAATTAGAGAAGTCGGTATCCTCCCAGTACTTTCGGTCGGAAGGTAGAGTAGGATTTTGTGCAAGACCCCATCCAATAACAAGATCCCAAATTTGTGACTCGTCAAGTTGTAAATCATCTCGTTTTATTATTGAAACGAGTGCCTTTTCATTTAGTTTTTTGAAATTATTAGACTCCGAAATGATTCCAGGATGCTTTGAAATGAAATCATTGTAAAATTCCTGTAGTAAGAGAAACTGTTCTTCATTACCGCCAATAAATTGATAGACTCGTAAAAAATTCGACCGTAGCCAAGGAGCTTGGTATTTGATCAAATATGATTCCACATAACTTGTCAACTCTTTTAGTTTGAATTGATTTGCGGACAATAAAAGATCAAATATATCCAAAGTTGTAATTTTTTCTAAATTAACAATTCCACCGTAAAGATATCTGTATTGTTTTAATTAATTTTTTATTAATATTAGTGTTTGTTTTTTAATAATTTTAATTTAATTGAGTTACTTACTTAATAATGATGTCGAAGACCTTTGACGCAATTTGGGGTTTTCTAATGATTCTAACATTCTCCTCAAAGTAATCGTTATTGTTATTTAATTCACTATATAAATACGGGCAACGACAACGTAGAATATTACTATGTGCTCTGAACGATTTTTCATAGGGTCCTTCCCCTATTACAATAATTACGTCGTATTCGACGTTATCTTTAAAGAGCTCCTGAAGGTCTTGTGATAAACTTTCGAGGAAATTCATGTTGAAATTTTATGCGCACCTGTAATTGTACTTGCGTACGCGTGGACTTTATACTTTAAAAATGCTTTTGTTTCCTTTTCTAGATATATTATCTATCTTAGGTATAATTACATTTTTGCTAACTTCCTTGAGCAATAGTATGCGCACACGTTCGCGTGAACCGTAAA